CTGGGGTTTGGAACCACACAAGTAACCCTGTGGGGTTTGAACCTAAGTGAACCCCGGTTTGGGGTTAAAAAAGAACCCTACGGGTTTTAACCACAAAAAATATTTTTTAACCCCAAAAAGTGAAACCCAAACTGGGGTTGGAACCCACAAGTGAACCCTCTTGGGGGTTTGAACCAAAACAAGTGAACCCCTACTGGGGTTGTGAACCCCAAGTGAACCTACGGGTTGGAAACAAACCAAAGAACCCCTAAACCCCGGGGGTTTGAACCCACAATAACCCTTTCTGGGGGTTTTTTGAACCACACGTGAACCCCAGTGGGGTTTGAACCCCCAAAAAGTGAAACCCTGCGGGGTTTGAACCCCCAAATAACCCTAGGGTGGGGGTTTGAAACCCCACAAGTGAACCCTACTGGGTTAACCACACAATGAACCCACTGGGTTTTGAAAACCCCACAAGTGAACCCTGGGTGGGGTTTGAAACCCACAATTGAAACCCCGTGGGGGTGAACCACAAGTGAACCCTATGGGTTTTTTAACCACACGTGAACCCTAGCGGGTTTGGGCCCACAAAGTGAACCCTAGCTGGGTTTGAACCACACAAGTTTAACCCACTGGGGGTTTGGAAACCACACAAGTGAACCCTGCGGGGGTTTTGAACCACACAAGTGAACCCTGCGGGGTTTTAACCCAAAAAAGTGCCCTGCAGGGGGTTTGAACCACCAATGAACCCTAGCTGGGGGGTTTTTAACCACACAAATAACCCCAGCTGGGGTTTTTGAACCACAAAAGTTAACCCTAGCTGGGGTTTGAACCACACAATGAACCCAGCTGGGGTTTGGAACCACACAGAACCCCCAGTGGGGTTATGAACCAACAAAGGGGAACCCCGGGTAGGGTTATAACCAACAAGGAACCCACTGGGTTTGAACACAAAATTTAAAAACCGCTGGGGTTTTGAACCACACAATGAACCCCAGCGGGGGATAAAAACACAAATGAACCCCTGGGTTTGAACCCCACCAAAATGAAACCCCACTGGGGTTAGAACCCACACAAGTGAACCCCGGGTTATGAAACCACACAAGTGAACCCTGCTGGGGAAAAAAACCACACAAGTAACCCCGGGAGGGGTTTGAACCACACAAATAACCCCAGCTGGGGGTTTTTGAACCCACAAGGAACCTGCTGGGGGTTTTGAACCACACAAGTGAACCCAGCTGGGGTTTTTAACCACACGTGAAACCCGCTGGGGTTAGAACCCAAAGTGAAACCCCCGCTGGGGTTTGAACCACAAAAGTGAAACCCCAGCTGGTTATGAACCAACCCAAAGGAAACCTAGTGGGGGAACCACCAAGTGAACCCGGGTGGTTTGAACCACCAAAGGAACCCTATGGGGTTAAACCACACAAGTGAACCCCAGCTGGGGTTATAACCACACAGTGAAACCCGGGTGGGGTTTAAAAAGAACCGGGGGAAAAAAACAAGTGAACCTGCTGGGTTTTGAACCACCAAGTAAAACCCCACTGGGGTTTAGAACCAAAGTGAACCCTAGGGGGTTTAACCCCCAAAAATGAAAATGGGTGGGTTATAACCACACAAGTGAACCCGTGGGGTTATGAACCACACAAGTGAACCCCAGCTGGGGGTTTTAACCACACAAGTGAACCCAAACGGGGTTATGAACCACCAAGTGAACCCTAGCTGGGGTTAGAAACCCCACAAAAGAAAAACCCCCGTGGGGGTTTGAAACCCCACTGAACCCAGCTGGGGGGATGAACCAAAAAGGGGAACCCAATTTTAAAACCCCAACAAGTGTTTTGGGGAAAAACCCCACAATGAACCCGGGGGGGTTTGAACCCACAAGGAACCCTAGCTGGGTTTTGAACCACCAAGTAACCCTGCTGGGTTATAACCACACAAGTGAAAACCCAGCTGGGGTTTGAACCCCACAAGTGAAAACCCTAGCTGGGGTTATGAACCACAAATGAACCCTGGGGGTAGAACCCACAAGGGGAACCCCAGCTGGGGGATGAACCCCAAAGTGAACCCTCTGGGGGTTTGAACCACAAGTGAACCCCCTGGGGTTTTGAAACCCCCACAATGAACCCTAGGGGTTAGAACCACCAAGTGAAACCCGGGGTGGGTTTTGAACCACACAAGTGAACCCTAGCTGGGTTTGAACCCCCAAGTGAACCCTAGTGGGGGTTATACCCCACAAGTAAACCCCGTGGGGGTTTGGGAAAACACAAATGAACCCTTCTGGGTTTTTAAAACCCCACAAATGAACCCAGTGGGTTTAAAAACAAAGGAACCCCAGCTGGGTTTGAACCACACAATGAAACCCAGCTGGGTTTGAACCACACAAGTGAACCCGCTGGGGGTTTGAACCCCCACAAGTGAACCCCCGGTGGGGTTTTGAACCACACAAGTGAACCCTAGTGGGGTTTTAACCCCACAAGTGAACCCTAGCGGGGTTATGAACCACAAAAAATGAAAACCCCCGCTGGGGGGGTTTTAACCACACAAGGAACCCTAGGGGTTTTTGAAACCCCAAAAAGTGACCTGTGGGTTTGAACCACAAAAAATGAACCCCAAAGGGTTTGAACACACAAGAACCCCTGGGGTTTGAAACCCCACAAGTGAACCCCACTGGGTTTTGAACCACCAAGTGAACCCTAGCTGGGTTTTTAACCACCAAGGAACCCCAAGGGGGTTTGAACCACAAAGTAACCCACTGGGTTTGAACCACACAAGGAACCCTAGCGGGGGGTTTGAACCAAAATGAACCCTAGCTGGGGGTTTAACCACACAATGCCCCGTTTTTTGGGTTTTTGAAACCACACAATGAAACCCACGGGGATTATGAACCCCACAAAAGAAAAACCAGCTGGGGTTTGAACCACACAAGGGAAACCCCTGGTGGGGGTTTGCCCACAAGTGAACCCCGTGGGTTGTGAACCACAAAGTGAACCCTATTGGGGTTGTGAAACACAAGTGAACCCTACTGGGGTTTAACCACACAAGTAACCCAGTTTGGGGGTTTTTTAAAACCACAAAGTGAACCCTATGGGTTGTGAACCCACAAGTAACCCAGGGGGTTTGAACCAACAAGTGAACCCCGGGTGGGGTTTAAAAAACCCCAAGTAACCCCTGGGGTTGAACCACACAAAATAACCCTGCGGGGGTTTGAACCACAAAGAACCCAGTGGGGTTATGAAACCCCACAAGTGAACCCTAGTGGGGTTTGAACCCACAAGGAACCCAAATGGGGTTTTGGGAACCCCCCAAAATGAACCCACTGGGGTTGAACCACACAAGTGAACCCCAGCTGGGTTATAACCCACACAGTAACCCACTGGTTGTGAACCCACAAGTAACCCTAGCTGGGGGTTTAAACCCAACAAGTAACCCTGCTGGGTTATGAACCCACAAGTGAACCCCGCTGGGGTTGTGAACCACACAAATGAACCCACTGGGGATGAACCACACAAGTGAACCCCGCTGGGGTTTTGAACCACAAAAAGGAAACCCCTAATCTGGGGGTTTGGAAAAACAAGTGAACCCTACTGGGGTTTAAACCCCACAATTTAACCCCGCTGGGGTATGAACCACACAAGTAACCCTAGTGGGTTATGAAAACCCCACAAGTGAACCCCATGGGGGTTTGAAACCCCACAAGTGAACCCTGCGGGGTAGAACCACACAAGTGAACCCCAGCTGGGGGGGGTGAAACCCCACAAGTGAACCCCGGCTGGGGGGTTTGAACCCCACAAGTGAACCCAGCGGGGGTTTTAACCACAAAGGGAACCCTAGTGGGGTTTATAAAAAAACCCCACAAGTGAACCGGGTGGGGGGAGAACCACACAGTGAACCCGGGGTAGGGGTTTGAACACCAAAAGGGAAACCCCAGCTGGGGTTATGAAAACCCCAAAAAGGAACCAGCTGGGGGGTTTTAACCCACAAGTGAACCCCATGGGGATTGAACCACACAATGAACCTGGGTGGGTTAGAACCCCACAAAATGAACCCCAGCTGGGGTTATGAAAAACCAAAACCCCATTTTTAACCCCTTCCTGGGGTTAGAACCCCACAAGTGAACCTGCTGGGGTTTTTGAACCACACAAGGAACCTAGCGGGGTTTTGAACCACACAAGTGAACCCTGCTGGGGGGTTTTAACCACAAATGAAAACCTGCTGGGGTTATAACCACACAAAGGGAAACCCCGCTAGGGTTATGAAACCCCCACAATGAACCCTAGCTGGGTTTTGAACCCACAAGGAACCCTAGCTGGGGTTATGAACCACAAAGGAACCTAGCGGGGTTATGAACCACACAATGAACCCCGCGGGGGATAACCACACAAGTGAACCCTGGGTGGGGGTTTTGAACCAACAATGAACCCAGCTGGGGGTTTTGAACCACAAGGAACCCAACTGGGGTTTTGAAACCCCAAAAGTGAACCCTAGCTGGGGTTATGAACCACACAAGTGAACCATAGCTGGGGTTATGAACCACACAAGTGAACCCTAGCTGTGGTTATGAACCACACAAGTGAACCCTAGCTGGGGTTATGAACCACACAAGTGAACCCTAGCTGGGGTTATGAACCACACAAGTGAACCCTAGCTGGGGTTATGAACCACACAAGTGAACCATAGCTGGGGTTATGAACCACACAAGTGAACCCTAGCTGGGGTTATGAACCACACAATGTTCTAATTCTCTTCTCTCTCCAAACCCCTGATATTTTTAGAATTGCCTTTATGCTGGTGACGTGTTTTTGTTCTAAGGAGTTAGAGCTTTTCTCCCGTCTCTCAAATTAAAGCTGATTACCTCCCATTCTTCTGTGTGACCCCGTCAGGTTTAGAGCCTCCATTTGAGTATAATAACAATCTACACAATTTTGAAAGGTGATATAATGTTCTGTACAACATGTATAGTCATTATGTTTCCTGTATAGCTAATTATATATTACTAGACAGTAAATCACAGCACTTACTTCTTCTTATAGAAATATTCCAGTACAGTGTTCAGTCGACTTTTAGGGACTATTCCCTTCTCTGGGTTTGGATTTTGTGTATTATCCCAAAATGGATGAAAGTCATCGTCAGCAATTTTTTGGATGAATTCTGCATCGTTTCTGAGTTCTCTTAGTTGCTCGATCCGCTCCATCCATCCCTTCTGTGCTTGTGACTTCTCGGTTTCTATCATGATGTCAATGTAATCTACTGTTGATAAAGGGTTTGGCTTCAGTGCAATTTCCTGCAAGCGTTCTAGTGATGTTTTCACTGATACGGTCATTTTCAGAACTTTCTTCTGCAGAAGTATGAATTCATCCTCAATTTTAGAAATAAGTTTCTCTGCTGTCAGTTTCTTTTGTGTGGCTTCCTCATAGCGCGCTCTCAGTTCGTCAGCTGTCTTGATCCTCTCTACCACTTCAAGAACATACCTGTATGGGAAGTTCTTGTGTACCAACCAGTCGCACTTTCCTGGGCAGATACGACACTTACCATCAGTTATTGCCCAGCAACGATGCTTCTCATTATCATCAGCAATTTTGCATAGTTCATGGCAGGTTCGGTTACACTTTTGGCAATTCGTTATATACTGGCCGGGTGGAATTTCAACTTGCTTATATATTTCCTCGTTTACTTTGTAAGTGAAGTTTTTATTTTTGTCTATGTCAGCTTGGTGGGATTTTACTATTTCTGCTTCTTTTTTTAATGTTTCAAGAGCGCTGAGACCAGCTTGGATCTGTATCTGAATCTCTCTGATGTAGTTTTGTAGCTTTCCTCTCTCAGAGAGGACATCCTGAGTCAGACAGAGGCTTCTGCTATCAACTTCATTCAATTTCTTCAAAAACACTTTAAAGCTATTTGCTCCCATCTTCCAAAACATTTCATCAAAATTAACATTTGCTTCGTCTTCTTCAGTCTCATCTTTAGCTGCAGTATTTCTAGCATCCTTAGTACGTTTAGCAAATAAAGCAGAGTTGTTAAACTTGAAATATTTTCTGTATGACATACCAGCTGCTGTTATTCCACTCAGAACTTGTGGTACTTGACCATCAGCAAAAGTGAGTAAAAGAAAAATGTTATCCTTAATATCCTTGCCAAACAAGGAGAGAATCTGGTCAAAAATGTAAGTCTGTGTTGGAGTTAGTCTCGGCAGTGAGGACTGAATCACAAAACCAACTGCGTCAATATGGTCAATACCTCCTGGACCCTGGGTGGTGAAGAACTTGTGTATCTGGCTGGTGATCTCCTGGTCTCGCTTCACTCCCGAGGTGTCACCGAACCCTGGAGTGTCAATGATGGTCAGTGTGTAAGGGTAATCAGAGCTCACTTGATGAATCGTATAAGACGTAATGTGTTTGGTCTGACTTTTCGCTTGATCATGGCTGCTGTCTTCTGCTATTAATTTGAATCTGAAATCGTCTTTCCAGTTCACACCAAAGATGTAGTTGATGATGCCATTGATCAAAGTTGTTTTTCCTGATCCTGTTGCTCCGACTAGTAAGATTACTTTTTCCTCAGCACCTATTTTCTGTTTTAGTGTTGTTAGTTCATACTTTCTTATCAGATCATGATCTTTGGAAAATACTAATTCTGTTTTAAGCATATAAATGGAAGGTGGACCTTTGTCAACAAGGTTCGATGCACGATACAATTCTTGTTTCCATTTTATGCTTTTGCTATCTTTTATAGCCTTATCATCAGCTTTTACATAAATGTAGTCACTGGGATCACTGTCCTCACTGCATAACGCAACACCACAATCAGCAGCTAATGCGAACCTCAAAGTAGTATCCTGTATAACTTTTGTTTCATAGGTAAGTTCATCAGCTTTCGTGAATCCTTTTGTAACCCATAAGTTTGTCCCTTTCTGTTGCTGCTTAACTTTATACTTTTGTATACTACAGTGTGGGCTAATGTATGGTGGTTTTGACCACTGTATTTCTATAGATGTTAGCGAAGTTTGCCACACCTGAGGCTTCCCTGGAGGACAGGATGGTCTGGTGTATACTGTTATTGTCTTACTGGTGGGACCTACTCCTGCCTCACACAGGCTCCGTACACTCACCTGGTAGGCACAGTTAGCCTCAAGGTTGGGAACAGTATAGCTAAGAGTGTGTGAATCTGTCTTAACCCTCGAGCTCACAGGGGGATTGTCTGTACTCACTTGTTGGTAAAGTATTTCATAATTTTGCACACTTGAAGCGCCATATTGTGGTGGTATCCAAGCAATGGTAAAACTATTATGAGTACTTTCAGTACTGTCAGCTTCAGGCATGATAGGTTCTGAAGGAATTTCATAATTCTTATTTATGATACCACCCTGCTTAAAACACTGAATATGAGCCTGATAATCTAATGTATCAGAATAGTTCACTGTCACTGCAAAGGAAGTTCCTTTGCTTTCTTTGTTGGATAGAAAGAAGTCTCTAAATTGTGAGACTTTCTTTAAAATAGACATTTCTCCATCCCGTAATTTCTTTTTAGAGTGTCCTCAAAGTTTCCCTCAGTGCTTTCATTGTCACTTTCATGGTCATATTTATTTTCATTATACATTTCCATTTTTAGAAGCTGAGAGTTGTTTTGTGGGATAAGAATTTGAAGGCAGAAGATATAGTTAATGTCTGCCTTCATCATCATTACCTCCAAATCACCAGGTTCTGAGGCAAACATGATCTCTGATAGCATATTGATATATTCATTGAGAATTTTTATAAGTTTTTCTTTATCTTGGAGCCAAGTGTGAAGGTTCAGGTAACTGAATGGAGATGCCTCTTTCTTCTTCAGAAGATCTGCCAGTTGTGATTCCTCAGCTCCTCCACCTTTGATGCTGGGTAGCAACACTGCCAATTGTCTTTGGAATTCAAGCTTGTAAATGATGATCATTGATTTAAAGTGACGTATTTCCTTTTGGATAATATTAATTTTTTCTGCAACAGAAGAATGATTTAAATCGTTGCACCTAATAGTAAGCTCATGGAGGTTTTCAAAAACTTTTTCTGTCTCACTGGTTAAGTTTGCATTAATATCACGCACGAATTTACTGGCTTTATTATCCAGAAGTGCTAAAGGGTACAATGTGACTTTAACTGGTACAGCATTTTGTCCTTCCTCCCCTAATAGCTTTGGTAAGTTCTTGTAGACTCGAACGGCATCTTCAAAGGTGCAAGGATTTTCTTGGAGCTGAAAATCTCCAATGAATGTGCAAGTAAAATTTTCAACGTATTTCTTTTCATTTTCAGAAATATCCATTTGTCCTTTACCATCTATTGGAATTTCTTTTATTAATTTCAACATACCTTGCAATTCTCCAGAACTTTGCTTGTCCAGTGAAAATGAGGAACACTCTCTCTCAAAAATAAAGAAAGCTTGTGCTCCATACTCTACTCCAGTGACGACGTGCGTTGCAATTCCATTATCAAATACATCTTGATGCTGCACTTTACCCTTGCCAAGTTGTTCCATCGTCATGGCCTCCGACCTGATGCTACATTTGTACTGCAGAGTGACTCTCTCCTGTTTACTGGAAGTCTTCTCGTTGTGCAGGTATTTTCCTGATCCCGATACATGAAACAACCTCCGAGGAAACTCAACTTCAGGTTAGCATTAATATCAAGAGCCGAGGCTTTGTCTTCCAGAGAGTCAGAAGCAATTATGCGAGAATCAGTGTTTGTAAGTCTTAGGACAGTTTTTTCTTCCAAAGTTGATGTGTCCCAGAGACTTACTCCCTGGATTAATTGGTCGTTCCTACAGTCGTAAAGCATCCCAAGACAGAAAGGCCGGCCTAGAGCAGGGATAGAGAGGTTTGTATTACTTACAGAATACATCTTGTATCAAGGTTTTGGCACCCTCCTACACTGTTATGGCAGTGATAGTGTATTGCTCGTGGTTGACACACTACTGTCTTGGTGGTGGTTCTGACACTGCTGTGTCAATGATGGTTCTAACACTGTCGTGTCAGTGAGGGTTCTGACACACTGCCGTGTCAGTGAGGGTTCTGACACACTGCCGTCTCAGTGATGGTCTTGGCACACTGCCGTCTCAGTGATGGTTCTGACACATTTCCGTGTCAGTTATGGTTCTGACACACTGCCGTCTCAGTGAGAGTTCTGACACACTGCCGTCTCAGTGAGGGTTCTGACACACTGCTGCCTCAGTGAGGGTTCTGACACACACCGTGTCAGTGATAGTTCTGACACTGCCGTCTTAGTGAGAGTTCTGACACACTGCCCCCTCAGTGGTGGTTCTGACACACTGCCGTGTCAGTGAGGGTTCTGACACACCCCCGTGTCAGTGATGGTTCTGACACACTGCCGTCTTAGTGAGAGTACTGACACACTGCCGCCTCAGTGGTGGTTCTGACACTGCTGTGTCAATGATGGTTCTAACACACTGTCGTGTCAGTGAGGGTTCTGACACACTGCCGTGTCAGTGATGGTTCTGACACACTGCCGTCTCAGTGATGGTTTTGACACACTGCCGTCTAAGTGATGGTTTTGACACACTGATGTCTCAGTGATGGTTTTGACACACCTCCGTGTCAGTTATGGTTCTGACACACTGCCGTGTCAGTGAAGGTGTCCTGCTGATGGTTCTGACATATTCTGAGGCACCATCATGAAGAGCTGAAATATATAATGCCAAATTTAGCTTATATATTTAATTGCTTATATTCTTAAAAAAAAATACAAACGAAATCATTAAGACATTTGGAAGCGACATCAAATAAATATTATTAAATATATTTATTATCGATACAAATAACTGAATTAAAAATAAGTGTTAAACGAGAGGTCAGAGAAGAGGTCAGGGTAAGCATTTAACGGTGTTAAACGAGAGGTCAGAGAAGAGGTCAGGGTAAGCATTTAACGGTGTTAAACGAGAGGTCAGAGAAGAGGTCAGGGTAAGCATTTAATGGTGTAGAAACAAAAGTCAGACACGATATGCATTAAATAACTTCTTAAGGAAAAAGTGGAAAAATATGTGTGTATGCTCTCTTATGAAGAGAATTATTCATGAACTCCTTAATGCTAGTGAACAACCTACACATTCCAAGAATGGGGACTGATACCTTTCACCTTGGTTGAAAACTAATTACTTGTTATTTCGGAAGCTCTTGATGACTCCTAAAGGGTTTGCACTTCCCCTTAAGAATAATAATAATAATATAACTCAATAATTTGTACAGTCAGTATGTAATGTTAGTCTTCCTTCGGCAGGTGCGCTATCGGAGAGAGAATATATATAAAATATTATATTTTTTAAAGTGGTGGACTGGTAAGCTAGTGGAAGACCTTGGTCAGAAGACTGAAGGGAGCAGTAGGACAATTAATTGTAGCTCTTTTGTTTACCGTCCGATTTCCTCCAGTTTTGGTGCACAAAACAGTGTTTTCACACCGTGTAAAAAATATTTGTCAAAAATATACCTCAAACAACAACTGAGAAAAGACTGAAAAAGGACTGATTTACAGAAAATGCCCTTTGGCAAGAAGGTGGTCCTATGGGACGACGTAAGGTTGTTTGGACACTTGGTGCCCAGACAACAATACTTATACGAATTTTCCGCAAAGCCTTTCCTCTAAATAACTTATCTTTACTTCACAAAAAAATAAAGTTTGTTAGTTCTTGGAATGTTGAAAAAAATCTGCCTTTTACTCCCACATAAATCCCAAAGTATTTGGAATATTTCCAAAATTCCCTCTGAATTAATTAGATAAATCATTATTTTACTATTTCTGTGAATATTATTCCACTTAATTAAGTAATAAAGGCGTACCTTAGCGAAATAAGTGAATAAGTTACTTCCAAGATATTGGCCTGGAGCGCCGGCCAACCCACCGTCTCGATTTTTTTTTTTTCGCGAAAATCGCGTTAGTTTCGGTGTAGTTCTTAGTAAACTGATGTTCTAGTGCAGTTATCCTCTTCAATATACCGTTTTCTCTTACTCAAAAGCCAAAGAATACGACATGGAGACGACATGGAGAGCAGTACCTCATTTATATCGAAATATTACCTTTGGTCTATCGCCATATTATGGCTTATTTTATTCAGTATAAAGTATATAACATGTTTGTATGTTATTTATAGTGTTCATTATATCATATTAGATCAATTCTGATAGATAAATAAGCCGTAGAGTTGATATATAAGCTGATATAAGCGTAATATTGAAGAGATTTCTCCTGGCTCTCTGGAGCGGGAACAATGCCGAGTGTTCCCAGATGGTTCCTGGTTGTCTCTAAGTCTACGGATAATCTCCGCCTACTGTTTTATGATGCCAAATAGTCAGTTATTATATTAGAGAATAATGCAAGAAAAAGCGATAAAAAAAAGGAAAAAAATCCAAAAAATATATGGGCTGTGAGCAGACGCGCTACCCATATCGCCGTCACCTTACCTGATATAAATGACTATAATTTCTTGTAGAAACGTCGTAGAACATTCATTCTGGTGCCATTGTGTTGCCAAAGAGTTAAGCTTTTTTTCTGTATATATGACTCAATTGCCTAATTTTTCGATTTTTTGTTGAGCGCGCGCGGAAAATTGCCTTACTGCTCCCCCAGTGGCGGGTCATCATATGACTAAGACCGGCGTCAGGAAACAATTGTCCTATACACAAATAACCCGCACATAGAAGAGAGGAGCTTACGACGACGTTTCGGTTCAACTTGGACCATTTACAAAGTCACACTAACGAAAAGGAGAGCAGGATGGGTATATATAGGCAGGAGGTGGTAGTAGTAGTAACAGTAGTTAGTGGAGGTGGAAGGAAGTAGTAGTAAGTTTAGTTTAATATGTTTATTATGCACCCCATACCCATCCTGTGGGCGGTAGTCAAAAGATTACAGAGGTACATAATTGGTCCAGGGACTGGACTCCAAAGTTTTGATAGCTGAGCAAGTTACAGAGGTAATGAACTAGATCTGGTCATAATCATGACCAAGTTACAAAGGTAATGAGCTCCAAGTAGAGCTGGTCACACTCATGAATAATTGCAAAGGTAATGAATCAAACACATTAATCATGAGAATTTACAAAGGTAATGAGCTCCAGGTAGAGCTGGTCACAATCATGACAAGTTTCAAAGGTAATGAATGATAAACACGTTATGACATGATTACAATCATAAACAAATTACAGAGTAATGAGCAGTTAACAAACATAGTAGGGAATTCATCCAATGCCCCAACAACAGATGTTGCTAGGTGCCTGTCTCTCCTCGGCAGACAGCCATTGCAAACAGCAGCAAGTTGCCCCGGGATCTGCTGCTTGCACGAGCACCATCGAAATGCCTAGCCATGCTAGGCGTTCTAGTGGTACACTCTGTAATTATTATTTTACTACATGTAAACCACACAATAACCAAATTCTGTAAACTCAGCATTGTAATACTTATAGAGAATAAAGTCTGAATCGACCCTCCCCAAGAGGTCCAAGAAGCCAGTGACTCCGTTAGCAGCCCAATGGAGAGCTGTCCTAGGGACATGTCAGCGTCCTGGTGGACGCCAAGTTGATTGAAGATCCCAGGCCCTCGTGTGCACGGATGTTGAAGGTTGACGAACTGAGTACACACTGCCTGTGGCACACCTGACAGCTGCCTCGCGGTCGAACTCCACGATGCTGTCCCTGTAGTAGAAGTTCTTGTGAGACTGGCACTCCCTGCAGTGCCATCGCTGACATCGTGGGTTAGGGGAGAAGTACCCCCTATAGATGGGGTGGCGCTGGGAGTTGGGTGGGTGAGTCGGGGGAGATGGGCAGGAGTGAGGCGTTATGAGAGGGTCACTGTTTACTACACACGCCCTTCCCCTCCCCCCCAGCGGAGAGAGGGGGAGGCGCTGACTGGTCCTGACTCAACAACACCAAACTCTCTAAAACTGCACAACACTTCAACTATTTACGCTGAAACGATGCACTGGGATGTCCGTTCGCTGCTCTGGTATCTTCTCAAAGCATTCACACTGAGTTCTGTTAAGTAGGGACCTGGTCAGACTCTTTGACCAGGAGCTATCCTTGAAAATCCCGCAGCTAGCCCGCTACACAACCTGCCGCGTCGGCCATGTTGCTCTATGTGGTAGTAGTAGGGAGGTAGTAAGAGTAGGAGGGGCCAGTCAAATACTAAGAAAGAGGAGCACTGCAAGAGAGCTGGTGCCCACAGAGGGTAAGAGCAAGAACACCGAGGGGGGAAAAACAAATAAATAAATAAAAGGAACAAATACACAGGGCAGAAGAAAGACAACCAAAAGGAGAAAAAGGAAAGAGGAAAAGAGGAAGAGGGGGAAAAAGTAAAAGGGGAAATCAGGTTAGGTCGCGAGTGTTGTGAAGTTTGGATAATTTTACAATGTAGTGGGAGAGGAAGGCATCTACAGAGATGAAGCCACGACTAAGATTCATACAAGGAAAGTTGTGTATTAGGGAGGATTCAACCAGACGGCGACTGTTAAAGTTGGAAGTAGGGAAGACAGTTTTAGCAGAAGACCAGTCAATAGGATGACTGTGATCTCTGACGTGACAGAAAAGAGCATTGTTAGTGTCGGCAAGCCTAACACTATTTTTATGCTCCCTAAGTCTGTCAGAAAGAGATCGACCAGTTTCTCCAAAGTATTGAAGAGAACAGGAGGAGCAAGAAATAGAGTAGACACCAGGAACATCTGTAGAGGGAGAAGAGGTATGAACGAGATTAGTGCGAAGAGTGTTAATCTGGCGGAAAGTAAGTTTGATGTCTAAGGAACGGAGAGAATTGTTGAGATTAGAAAGACCGGAAATGTAGGGAAGGCAGAGGACAGAAGAGTTTCCAGGAGAAAAGAAATTACATTTAGCACGTGAGAAGGCAGAGTCTATGAAATGGGAAGGGTAGCCAAGACTGGAAAATGAATTATGAAGAGTGGAAATTTCTGCTGAAAGGAACTGAGGATCACATATGCAGAGGGCATGGAGAAAGAGGGAGATAAGAACACTTTTCTTGACAGCGGAAGCATGATAAGAAAAGTAGTGAATGTACATGCCACTGTGCATAGGTTTGCAGTAAATGGAAAAGGCAAAACCTGTATCTGAGCGGTGAACATAAACATCATGAAAAGGAAGCAAGGAATTAGATTCCCATTCAGCTTTAAACTTAATGGAAGGGGCAAGATTGTTAAGAGCTTAAAGCAAAGGTTGGAAGAGAATGGAGTCATGAGGCCACAGAGCAAAGATGTCATCCACATAGCAGAGCCAGAGTGAAGGTTGCACATCGAGGGTAGGAAGAAGAACAGTCTCGAAGTATTCCATGTAAAGATTAGCAAGGACAGGAGAGAGAGGAGAGCCCATAGCCACACCGAAGGTTTGAGATTAATATTTCCCTTGGAAGGAAAAGGAATTAGAGTCCACACAGAGGCGGATCAGATCAAGAAAGACATCAGTGGGGATAGGGAGATGAAGAAACCCTTCATGGACCTTCTCTCTAAGAAAATCAAGGACATCATCAAGAGGGACATTGGTGAAGAGGGGCTCAACGTCAAGACTAAGCATCGTGCAGGTTGGGAGAGAGCGAACCCGTTCAATGAAGTCTTGAGAGTGACGGAGGTGGGCAGGAGAAAAAGTACCGGAAAGGGAGTGAGGGTTTTGGCCACTACATTGTAAAATGATC